CACCTGAGGTCAGGAGTTTGAGATCAGCCTGACCAACATGGAGAAACCCTGTCTCTACTAAAAATATAAAATTAGCTGGGCGTGGTGGCGCATGCCTGTAATCCCAGCTACTCGGGAGGCTGAGGCACGAGAATTGCTTGAACTGGCGAGGCAGCGGTTGCGGTGAGCTGAGATCCGTGATCACGCCATTGCACTCCGGCCTGGACAATAAGAGCGAAACTCTGTCTCAGAGAAAAAAAAAAAAAATTGCTAAAGTGATCTGATGTGTTACCCTTTGGCTTTGACAAGTGCAAGAGAACAGTTGTTCAGAAAACTGGATATCCCATCCTCTGTAGCTGATTGTAAACTGTAACTTAGAAGTGATTGTCATTTTTATTACTGTATTCATGCATCTGTCAGTCCAACAACCTTTTTTTTTTTTTTTTTAAACTGAGTTTCACTCTTGTTGCCCAGGCTGGAGTGCAATGACCTGATCTTGGCTCACTGCAGCCTCCGCCTCCAGGGTTCAAGCAATTCTGCTGCCTCAGCCTCCCAAGTAGCTGGGATTACAAGCGTGTGCCACCATACCCAGCAAATTTTTGTATTTTTAGTAGACAGGGTTTCACCATGTTGGCCAGACTGGTCTCAAACTCTTGGCCTTAGGTGATCCACCCGCTTCAGCCTCCCAAAGTGCTGAGATTACAGGTATGAGCCACCGCGCCCTGCCCCAACAACCATTTACTGAGGAAGTACTACACATTAGGTCATGAGCTAAGTATTAGTATCACTAAAATACCCAAGACACTATGATTGCCCTCGTGGAGCTCAGAGTCAAAAGTGAGTTAGTGATACAGTAAATAAAGTAACGGAAAGTACTTCTGAGTTCATCTAAAGCCCCAAGATCTTTTCCAAGCTTAGGGAAAAGACGTCTCCCAGCACTCTAGGTCAAGGTGGGAATGCTAGGCAGGGAAAAAAACCTATGTGCTCTGGCTACGACAGTGGTTCTTTCCTATTGCTATTGATAGCTGGCTTAGTCTAGACATAGTGGAGGAGGAATCATTCCCCTCTTCCACACACTTATTAGATAAAAATTTCTTCTAGCTATAGCCTCAAACTTAAAATATGTGAAATCCCCTTACAAATTATATACAGAAAGTATAACTTAAAAATTGGGTCGTGTCCATATGTTTGTTTGAACTAGCTCCACAGAAGTAATGTCATAATTCATGCTTAGATTTCTGGTATAGAGTTAGAAAACCTATGTAGCCTGCAACACATATATAGCTAATGTTCTACAAATATGTAATGAAAAATAAAAGCAACTTTAATACACGTTAACTATAATAAAATTTTAAAAGAGGGGCTTGTAAATATCTATATTGAATGCTGAAGATGGAAGGCTCAATTTGGAATGTGCAATTGGAAATAACCCTTAAATTGGAAGGCTTTCCTTCAGATAAGCTTAAAAAAGAGCTCTAAGAAATGGAAGCATCTAAGTAGCAAGGGTAGTTAACTAGTCTGATTTAAACAACTGCAAGAAGTACATCTGAGCCAACTCTTACATATTTATAGAACTTAACTGAGGTGGATTTTATTTTAAAGGTGTTGAAAGACCCTCCCACATTTAGATAGATAATTTTAGAATTTATAATTATTTTAGAAAAAACAGGGCTGGGTGTGGTGGCTCAGGCCGGTAATCCCAGCTCTTTCGGAGGCCGAGGCGGGGGGATCACCTAAGGTCGGGAGTTCGAGACCAGCCTGACCAACATGGAGAAACCC